GGAAGAGGAGGACAATGATGAGGAGGAGGACGAGGAAGGGGAGGAGGAGCAGGAGGCGTGGGAGGAGGAGGAGAAGACGTAGCAGCATAATGATGACGAGGAGGAAGTGGCGGACGATGAGCCTGTGAGAGATGTTTTGTTATGAGAGGGGCACGTATTCTGGGGGGGGGGAAACTTGAAGATGGAGGGGCCGCATCTTGAAAGTCAGAAGGCATGTGTTCCGACCTATCTTACCTTCTCTTGCCCTTCCTGATTCCACCTGGCCCAATCCAACCAATCCCAACCAGTTTGCCCCAAGTCCTTTACCCTTTGTTTGACCCGACCTCTCTTTCACTCGCATTGGCTCGCCCACGTCCATCCCTCCTCATCCCTGTCTGTCCCCTCGTCTTTCCAATCCCCCCCGCCCTTCCATCCACTTTTTTGGCATCCATCCTGCGTGCAGGAATGTCTGTCCCTCTTGTTGCGCAGTGTGGCTTGGAACGGGTCGTCCTACCCTACTCCAGGGTCAGCGCTTTCCACTCGCAGCCATCAGAAGGCCTTGAACGTGCAAGTGCTTCGCAGGTGCGAGTGCCACCCAGAACGCACGCGCACCATACGTGTAGGCGTATTCAATACCGTCTGCAGGATGAAGGTACCCAGCTCTCCTAGGATTGCAGGTCCTGCTCCTCATGCTCATGGTTAACCTCATGATGTCCGATATGTCTGAGTTTCGACTCCATGATTAGCGTGTTGTTCTTCATCTCTACCACCACTTTCAGTTTTTCCTGCATGTGGCATACACTACAAGCTCAGGGTGTTGCTCTTATGTTATGTTGTAATCATCAGGTCTTGAACGTTTTCACCAAGAGAGTTCGTGATCACCAATAGCACGTTTTCGCACATGACAGGACGTTAATTTTAGCATATATGTCTTAAGTCATGGTGCTGTTCTACATCGTATATGTATACACATCTGTGCATAAGTCTCCACCGAGTGGGCCATTCCACGTTCCAAAATTGCTGCACGGCGCGGTCTACCCGCAAATTTTTGGACTTCGGGCCCACGAGTCACTGCGAAGTCGGGTTGGATCACCTTCGATATCTCGCAGAACCAACGGCAACGTTCTGAGATGATAGTTGCGGCTTGCGAGCTGAGAGTTCGGATTCTTCAGACAGAACTGTTTCCAAGCGCTAAACATAGTTGAGTTTGAAGTGTGGGGCAAATCCACGTCACGGCTACTCCACTCACCATCATCCTCAAGTCTTGAACGTATGGTACCCCAGAGGAGCGGACTCGAATGCTTCTGGCCTCTTGCTCTTTAGGCATTACGATATTGGCTAGTGAAAAAAACGACATGCTTACTGATGCTACCCCGTTACTTTCTTCTAGAAGACGGCGTTTTGGCAATATGAGTGTAGACTCACATCTTTAAGTTTGGATCTATCCCACACGCCAGGGTGTTCCATGTCAAGTGCAGGCTTCAGTTCGCGACCTGGCAGCCCAGGTTCGAGGGGGAAGCCTGAACCTACGACTGCAACTAGACGTCAACGCAGGGAGCCCAAAGTGTTGACGAAGCTGCGCCGCCTCATCAGGAAGGTGGACCGACAGGGCTACACTCCCACGGCGAAGGAAGTGACGGACACGCTGCGTTCGCTGATCGGCAACCCTCCTCCTTCGACTAATACCACCACAGCTGGCGCCAGTCCACTGACTCCGACGCCTCAGCCCACACAGCGCTGCCAGAAGCTGGTGCCCAGTACAGCGCCAGTCTGGCCAGCCAATACCATCAAGGATCGCACGTATGATCCGACCAAGCCACCGGCAGTATCTTGTATGGGAACCAGGGACTACAATGGGCGAGTGTGATTTTTGTTATTATATTTACTGCTATTGTTATTGTTATTGTTTTTATTCATTATTTTTTATTATAGTGGTTATATTTAATTCTGTTGTAGTTATTGCTGAATGCCGCGATGGAGTGGTTCAGGGCGGCGGGCCTCGCCGAGCCGTGTGGCACCTTCGTTAACTGTACCAGGAGAAATCTCACGAACCGGGCTGGACAGAAGCCGACGTCCCGGTGGATGGGCCACAGGGAGGTGCCGTTCTGGCAGCCGCTCAGATCTTCGGGGGCGGAAAAGAGGGGGGTGATGACTAGGGGGGGGTGGATGTCATATGATATCATGGCGGGGGCCATGATTTTTCCTCTGATCTCATGGCGCCTCTTCTTATTTCATTACGTCCCTGGCCCCCCCGCTGGGCCGCGCACATGCCGCCGGTCATGATTTGCACCCCCCCCTCTTGGACACCCCCCTCTTGGCCGCTCCCGATCTGGCAGCCGCTCAGATCTACCTGGGAGCCCGGGCGCCACGACGCTCAGGCTTTGCGCGCGGAGTCATCGATGACGCTGGGGATCCCAAGGTGCAGGATATCACCGCAGCCTCCATGCGGCTCACCATCACGAAAAAATTCGCCGAGGACGTGCTCTTCGTCCAGGCTGCGGAGAAACCCGTCTCGGTCGCCTCCTTCATCTTCAACCCCACCCTCGCCAAGCAGGTCCTCAAGACCAAAGGCGCGGTCGCCTACGACGCGGAGGTCACGGCCATCGTTGTCGCGTGCGCAGCCGCAGTCGACGATTTCCTCAAGTTCCCGCTCCCTCCGGGAGTCTTCCTGAACACGCAGGGCAGCAAGCTCATGCCCGTCTGGCACAAGCTGCGGGAGGACGAGACCAACGCCGCCTACTACAAGCGCGTCCTGGCGGCCACCGCGGCCGCCGCCGGACGCATGGTATACCGCCCTTCGGACAATTCGTCGCTCGGCATCCTCGCGGAGGGCGTCGTGGCGGCCGACATCCAATATCGCTGGCTCTTGCAGCGCACCAACCCTGCCTGGCCACGGGAGGAGGAGGCGAGCTAATGGGCCACGCGCCGAGGCTGCAAGAACGTCTCCCACAGAGTCCGCGCTGGGGCTTGCCGATGGTTTCTTCGCGGCGACCTGGCCGCCATTGCCAGCGACCAGGTGAATTCCTTCTCCTCGGGGGCCCAGGTCAGCCTCGCGCCACCCCGACGCGGACAAGCAAGGCCCGCGCCTACGACAGCTCCGACGACGGCCGGGGGCACCCCTAGCCCAGCCAGGCCGCCCACACAAGCACCTCCCCCCCCACCGGCGGCGCCGGAAGAGCAGGAGGACGAGGAAATGACCAACAACGACGGCTCTAACGAGCAGGACCAACGCAAGAAGGTGGCCACAGGACGAGCAGCAGCTGCTGCGGCCCCTGCGGCCCCTGCCCCATGCCCATGGGAGCCCTACTTCACGGCCGAGGAGTGCGGCGGCAAAGGAGACTGCTTCCACTGCTGCGCTGGCTTCTTCAAGCACACGTCCAACGCTGACGCCAAGCCGCTCGCCGACGCCGACCTCGCCCCCGGTGGCCGACTCCAGGCGCAGATGCGACAGGCGGTGGCGGCCGAGCTCCGAAAGCAGAAACACCCCGAGGCCGCGGCCCAAGGGGCCGCCGGGGCATGGGCCACTTCCAAGGCAATGGAAACGGCAGCCAAGGTCCTCAAGACGAATTTCGCCGTCTGGAAGAAGACTGCGCCAGGCTGGGCACTGTTCGCAGCACCTACGTCGATCACGACAACGCGCGCGGCATGGCTCACGCTCGTCGACGGCCACTGCCAGCTCCTCGCGAATGCGACCCCCCTGCCGCCATCCACAGAAGGAGAGTGGAAGAAGTCCTCTCGTCCACGCCCCCGCCGCTTCACCGGCGGGGGGAAGGCCAAGTCAGCGTCATCACGTGTTCTCCGCAGCTTTCTCAGCTTGTAGAGCCCATCGGTGACCTCACCAAGTACTACTCGGACTCAGCAGCCAAGACGCCTCTCAAGCCGAGGGGCGCGCAGCATCCTGAGCCTACCAACGCCGTCTCAGGCCCCCTCCCAGGCGGGCGCCGCCGACATGCGACGACCCCTCAGCATCGCGGGCGACCCCGACGACGCCGCGACCCCACCGGTGGCATCCACGCGCCCCCGCTACGACGCCTACACCTACTGGCACTGCGAATGTGGCTGGAAGCCCAACATCCTGAACCAGACGGTCAACCAGATACGCAACGAGGCCCGTGTCCATTGGCGCTACTGCCAAGGAGAGGACCTTCCCAGGGAACCTATGGAAGCTCGACGCGCTCGCTTGGGGGTCGGAGGCTCTGCGACCGACGCCATGAATCGACGAAATCGCGTCGCAGCTTGGCGACGATCTACCACTTGGAAGACGGAGCTGGCCCAGCAGGCCCGGGGCGTCATCTGCGACCCCGTCGAGGCCTCCGCGTGCACGACCCAGCTCTCACGCATGAAGACCGCCAAGTACACCTGTTCTCGCTGCGTCAGGAGCCTCCCGCTCGCCTGCTTCAAGAAGACGGCGTGCAAGAAGCGCCCTGACGGCATGACCCAACGAGCAGCTCTCCGCACCCTCCTCGGGCAGGCCAGGGCCGACAGCTTCCTCAAGGAAGCCCACTGGAAGTCGCGCAGACGCGCGGCCGAACGGGAAGCAGAACCCGGCTACTACGAGAAGCAGTGCCAGCTCTGCGGCCGCCAGACTACATCACCAGGATGCCCCGCCAGACAGGGGAGGCAGTCGAGCCGCGCCGAGGCGCTCGCCGACGGCCTGCCGGCCGCTGCCTCCAGCAGCTGACGGGGCCCGCTCCCGGGGGGAGGCAAGACCCCTCGGGGGCCGGCATCCAGGCTCGCATCTACCTCTCCGACGTGCACGCCCACGGCACCGGAACGAATTCGACTCAATGCTTCAGGTGCGCATCAGAATTCTCAGCAGACGCTCACGCCTCAACGGCGGCCCTCGCAATTCACCGCTGATGATCCACATGGTAAGCGGCTGCGGACGCAGTTTTCTCCAGAGGATGGTGAAACAGCCTTTTTCTGGGAATGATGGTGCTTCTTCCAACTTTATTGCGCCCTCGTCAATTTCGGCGAGGTCCCCACTGCATGTCCCCTCTGGGACTGGGAGTTCCCATGCCATGCACGACGGCCCGCGGGCCAAACGACCGCGGCACGACCCCGCCGGCGGCGACGACGCTGGTGGCGACGCCGACCAACCCATGGAATCGGACACCACGCCCGACCCCATGCAACTCCAAGCACGCACGATCAACGTCACTAGCCTCGCCAAGGCCCGCCGGACCACCATCCTGTCCTCCCGAGACGCGATGGCAGCTGGCATCGTGTGCTTGCAGGAGATCCGCCAGCGGGAGCTTCGCCCCAGGTGGGCCCTCCGCCTCGCCACGAGCCTCAGTTGGAGCATCGCCTACTCCGACCCCCCCCCCCCCCCCCTGCCACCAGGGGCGCCGCCGCCGCAGTGCGCCATGGGGGGTGCGCCATACTATGGCGACGCTCACTGGGCCGTGTCCACGTTGTCCGGGACACGATGCCCAGGCACGGGATGGTGGGTATTCGCGCGGCGCGCGCTACTGTCCTCTCGACCTACGGCCCCGCCGAGCTCGACCGCGACTGGTTCCACCGCAGTTTCACCTTCTTTCGCACGCTCGGCCACCTCGGCCACCCTATCTTCATCGCTGGGGACTTGAACTGGCGCCCCACCTACGCAGGGGTCATCGGACACGGCTGGCGCCTCGACACCGCCGCCGACGGCTCACCATCAACCACGACCACGGTGAATACCTGCCCGACGCGCGCCCTGTTCTGGGGAAGCCCCGACGCCAGGCCACCGCTGCATACCAACACCACGCTCTTGGCTGGCATTCCGCACCACGGCCTCGTCAGCTACACGCTCAACGTCCCGTACACGGAACAAACCACCCACCGCCTCCGACAGACCGCCACCTACGCCCCAGCCCGCGACGCTCCTCCCGAAGAGAGAGCTCTTATGCAGGAACTGATTGATTTGGAATTTCATGCTCCCCTGATTTCCGACGACGACGACAGCAACCCGCCGCTCACGGACCGATGGGACTACTGGCACCTACGCGCCGAACAGGCGATGCTAGTGGCAGTCGACCGTGGCTGCATGCAGCTCGACCAACTGGCCGAACGGCCCAAGGGCTCCAAGCCCACGACTCGACGCACCTTGCACTCACCGGCGCACCGACTGGACCAGTCGATAGCCCTCCTACGCCTGCAACGCCTCCACAGGGCCCTCGCAGAACACCTGCGCCAGGGAGGCCGAAGCGACGACTACCTCGCGCCGAGGCACCACCGTTCGGTAGCCCAAGCGGCCCTCGACGGCGTCCTCAACGCGCAAGCCTGCGGCACCCCATGCTACTCCGACGCCCTCCACTGGATCTACCAGGCGACCTCGGCGGAGCAAGCCCGTCTCCAGGACGGGGCTAACCGCCAACGGCGACAGAGATTCGCCACCTGGAGCAACGACCTCTGGTCCTATACGACTCCCATGTTCAAGGCCACGCCGCCGACGCCCGCCATGAACGTCCACGACATGCGCCGGCAATGGCATGACCAATGGTGCCCCGACAACTACGACGGCGACTCGCACCACCAACGCTGGAAGACCTATGAGGCGGACACTGTCTTCCCGAAATCCGACAAGGCCTCCGACTGGACACCCTCCTGGGGCCAGTTCCGGGAAGCCATCCAACGCGCCAAGGGTTGCCTTGGGCTTGACGGCTGGAGCTGTAAGGAGCTCCGCGCTCTGGCCCACTGGTTCCCGGCCATCGTCCGCGAGCTGTTCGACCTCTGGACTGCCGCGCCCACGGCAGCTGCCCAAGCCAAGGGCCACCTCTCGCCCGACCTCCCATGAAGGGTCTCCCCCTAGAGGGCAGCAGGGGTGCCCGAGGGGGAAAGCGACGCCCGGCCGATCTCGGTCGGCTCGGTTTTCCTCAGAGTCTGGCTCAGGTCCCTGTCCCAAGCCGTGCCTGAGCCGCCAGACAAGCAGCGCGCCCGCCGCTCCGGTGCCAGCGCCACCCACGCCATAGCCGCCTGGCTATCCGACTGCGCGGACTCCTCCGACGGAGTGGAAATGGACCTGTCACGGGCCTTCGACAACTCAGGAGGGAAAGAAACACACAGGCACAATTAATCGTCGACTCCCCAGAAAATATGGGAAAATATGGGAAGTGGCGGGGAAGACAAAACCCCCGAAGATATAGGAAAATATGGGGAAACTGTTTATTTGTGTGTATTTATTTGTGTGTCCCAGGGCCCCTTCAACAACATCGGTCACGAGCTAGCCCAAGAAAGCCTCATCCAGAGCGGCCTGCCAGACCTCGTGGTCTACACCTGCCGCGCCGCGTGGCCGGGCTCCCGCAACTGCTCCCTCGTGGGCATGACGGCGCCACCGATCCACCCACAGCGGGGCCTCCCGCGCGGGGGCGCCATGGCCCCAGCCACGATGGTGGCTTGCCTCGCCCCTTGGCAGCCCCTATCCTCTGGCCGCGCCTTCATGGGCGATCGCGCGATTGTCTCCACCTCGCCGGGCGCGCTGGCCACCGACATTGCAGATGCTCAGAGCTTCGACCGACGAGTGGGCTTTGTGGAAAACATCGGCAAACGACAACACCGGTCCGACTAAGACGTCGTTCCACGACGCATCGAGCACCTCGGAGCGCTCGCAACACCGACCGACTCCAGCTTCGGCATCATTCCACGCCAAGGGTGGGCAAAGCTGGAGACCTCCATCGCTGTGTTGGCCTCCATCCCTGGCAGCAACCAGGTTCGCCTCAAGCTCGCCTTCGCCTACATCCGTCCTCTGTGGCTCTGGGCGAGCCCACTGGTCATCCCGCCGCCCGTCAAATGCGCCAGGACCCTGGCGCGAGCCGTCTGGCACACCAGTTGCACCTGGTGGTGCCATGGGAGGTGGTGCGCCCAAAATGTATTACTTCATCCAGTGTATTATGCTGCTAGATTCGCTTTCAAGAACATTGTAGATCCTAAGCTGAAATGGTATGTTTTGTTTTAGCATTCTATCGCTACTCATGCAACTGCTCTGGGTCTCACCTACCGAAGTTTCTCTCCTACGCAAGGAGCTCAATTGGAAGTCAATCCCACCGACGATCACCGTGTGCTGAAATCGGTGGGGGAGCACGTGGACGACTACTGGCGCTTCTGGTCGGGGTCCTCCGGTGCTCTGCACGTCCTGCGAGTTATCGCACGCATCCGTTGCCTACAAGCAGTGGTTCCTACGCGGCACGACGCGGAGGACATCTCCGACGTCGACGTCGAGATCTGCTCGGCCAAGGCCAATAAGCGCTGGGTGGGTACACTCAGCGACACGGACAAGACGCTTCTCTCGATCTTTCGCTCTGGTGCCGTCACCAGCGAGACTCGGAGACGAACTGGGTTCGCATGCAAACACTGCGGTGCAACTACCCCGTCGTTTCGCCATGTCAGGGCTGAATGTCCGAGGTGGCACCATGCGAGATCCAACATCGGAGCTCGCTACATGCTTCCCGACAGTTGCTGGACATCTGCTTCTAGGTGTACAGCGAAATCGGGATGAGTTACTTACGCTCTTGCTGGTACCCCAGAGGAGCGGACTCGAATGCTTCTGGCCTCTTTGCTCTTTAGGCATTACGGTATTGGCTAGTGGAAAGGAAGACATGCTTACTGATGCTACCTCCCTACCTTCTTCTAGAAGACGGCGTTTTGGCAACAGGAGTGTAGACTAACATCTTAAGTTTGGATATATCCCACACGCCAGGGCGTTCCATGTTAACTTCTCTCTCAGGTCTTGAACGTGTTGACGGGCATCTTCGTCGAGAACGCCATGCGCCTTGCCGTGCCAGACAGAGACACTCTGGCCGGAGGGAGGGTGGCTTGCAGACACCGCGGTGCCACAGAGTGACGTCGTCAATTTTGAATATTGCCCCCTCCGGGTCCACAGTGGGAGGGGGAGCTGGACAGGGTTTGAGGATGCCTCTGAGTGTGTCCTCCTGCTGTTTTTCTGCCTGCTGTTTTTTTGGTTCTCGTGATGATCATCCTCACTTTCAATCGCAACGCATGTTTCCAAGGGGCCAGGGGAGTGAAGCTGGACGGGGAGTGCAATGTCGAGGAACACCTATTGCGCACCAATGATAGCGCAAGGGCGGCTTCAGTCCCTGCTCGCCGCCAATTCTGGGTGGGTGCCCTGCATCCCGTGTGACCCTGGCATGTTTTACTGCATGTAGTGAGATGTGCGCCCAACTTGTTCCCGCCCATCGGCATCCTGCCCAAGGCCTCGTCCTTATATTGTGGACAAGGCATTGTGTGACGGCCAAGGTCAGGGAGTGGATGAGGACCAGAAGCAGCAGGACCGTCAATGGGAGCAGAGGAGAGAAGGACGAGGGGCGAGGAAGGGGAAGGATAAGGAGGAGGATCATGAGAATGAGGAGGAGGAGGTGGAGGAGGAGGAGGAGGAGGAGGAGGAGGTGGCGTTTTGGAGGTCTTGGGGCCCTCTTTGTGCTCATTGGAGGGGTCTGGGAGGCCTCTTGGGTCCTCTGGCTCAGGGGGGTATTAATTATGTTCCCCCCCTCGGAGGCAAACAAAAATCGTCTTGGGGCCGTCGTTGGCCGCTCTATGAGCGCTGTTGGGTGCTCTTGGGGCCCTCTTGGGCCTCTCTCTTGGCCGCCTTGGGGCCATCTTGAGGCATCAGAAGCCCATCGGACGCGAAATAACGAGAATGCAACACAGCATTGGTAAGTCCTTAGGTTTCGGGGCCATTTTTTGGCCTCTTGGGGAGTGGGTCCTCGGAGGGCGTGGCGTATACTGGAAACCGTAGTGGGGTCATCTTGAGGCCTGTTGGATGTTCGTCCGGGGCTATCTTGAGCCACCTTGAGGTATCTTGACCCATCTTGGAGGCCATCTTGGATTCGCAGAGGCCCTATTGGAGCCATCTTGTACCAAACGCACCCTCTGACACCTCGCCCCCCTCCCCCTTCCAGGCCTACAGGAGGGGGTGGAGGGAGGGGTCAAGGCACCGAACCCAAACCGATCCCATGCGCGCGACGCTGGGGCAAGGTGCGCCACGCGTGCCAGGCGCGCCACGCGCGCCAGGCACCCCTGGGGCCCGAGCGTGCCAGGCACGCCTGGACCAGGTGCGCCACATGCGCCAGGTGTGCCGCATACTCCAACCCGGCCAGGTGCGTCACGTCCGGGGCACGTGCAGAGTGTGTCAGGTGCAGCTGCGCACATAACAGCACACATCGGGAAACATGTCAGCCCCCACCATTCTTGTCCAAAACCAGTGCCCATCATTGTGTCTGGTGGGCCTGCGCACAGCAGGCCACACGCCACCACCCCCGCCGTCCCTGCCAAAAACCGCTTGACATTGATCGCGGGGTGGCCGCACATGATCCAGATTTAGCCGCACAGTGCATTCTGTATAGTTTTTTGACAGGGATGGTTGCCCTGCGCACAGCAGGCAACATGCTCACACCCCCACCGTCCCTGTCAAAAAACAATACAAAGTGCTCGCGGGTCTCAGTAACATGACTCAAGGCTTTGCCTCAAAGTGCATCTTGTATTGTTTTTGACAGGGATGGTGGGGGAGCCGCATCGGGTTGGTTGCGCATGCTCCGAATTTGGAGGCAGAGTGTAGTTTGCATAGTTGTTTGACCGGGATGGTTGGGGGTGGGGGTCACGGGGTCGGCATTGTTCCTGGTTGGCTGCCAGTCGCCTGGGGGAGGGGGTGTATAGTAATTGCGAACAGTGAGACACTCTTCCACCGAGCAGGGCAAGGCGGGATTTTAGCAGAGAGATTACACAAGTTCGTTAAACCACTTACGCTCAGAAGGCTGGTGGACTTGTGTTACAGTGTGAGTCATATCGACCTCCAGGCGAATTTCTTCTCATCGAGGACCGAGTAGCTGTTTCACAATTCTGCTACAGTGCGAGACTGAATGACCTCGTGCTTCGTCCTTTTGTCGGCGAGGATCGAGATAATGTTTCACAATTCTGCTACGGCTTGAGACGTAACGACATCGTGCTTCATCCCTTTCCATGGCGAGGATCCAGATGTCTCACAAAGTTGCTACAGTGTGAGACGTAACCGTCTCGTGGCTATCTGCACCCTGGCTATATGCACAGTGCCCTCATGCAGTGCGCACTTGCACCCTGGACAAAGACAGACGTCACGTATTGAAATTCCAGAAACGAGCATTGCACACAAACACACACACACTTTCAGACCTGAGAGACAAGCGCTACTCGCACACCTACCCCGTATCCACAAGCACTGCACGCACGCAAACCTTCGAGACGCAAGCGCTACACGCCCCTAAAACTGTATCTGTGCACGCGCTACATGCACCCAAACCCTAGCGGCGCAAACGCTACACGCTGCCGCTTTCCTGCCCGCCAGCTCCCATTGGGTTCACCGTCGTCGAGTGAAGAGAAGGTAAGCTCGTGGTCGTCTCCTGTCTCGCCCAGGGGTGCCCGCTCCGCGTCTCTATCTCGCTGCTGCTTCTCCTCCGTCTCCTTCTCCTCTCCGCTCCCTGGTTCCTGTCAGCCTTCACCCATGGGGGGGGGGAAGGCCCTCGAGCACCGCAAGCGGGAGATCGCCGAGGCTGACGAGCTTCGCCGCATCTGCAAGGAGATCCCCCCGAGCCGCTCATCAGTGAGGGGAGTTGGAGAAGGAGGAGGAGCAGCAGCAGGATAACTACGACTGTGCTGGGAAGAAGTGCCAGCAACAGTGCGCGTCACGATGACTGCGAGCACCCCGTCAACAAATGACATCACGGCGCCATCACGGTGTCAAAGACAATCGCAGTCAAGCGCCTCGGTGCCAGAGAGCGGGTCAAGTCTGCGTCGCAGTGCGTACTGCAG